ACAAATTCATGGATACTCATATGTGTATAAGAAAGAGGTTTATATAAAAGAGCGATTGTATATGGAGAAAACATCCCAGCTCAGTCCAGATCCAATCTGTAAGTCTGATATTAACCCAAATGCCCAATACTGGCCTGTAAATTCCTCTTTAGACGCATGCAGTACATGCAATGATGCCGAATGCAGGAAGATCACAGGCCACTGGGTAGAAGGTCTTGTGGATCCAGTGGCAGTGGAAGCATCTTAACGCTGGTGCAGGTCTCCACGAGTCTCCAACTCTCGACAGCAGGAAAGGGAAGGCAGAGAGAGTGGGTCTGGCCTCCAGTGAGCCATTTATTCCCATCGTGCCTCCAAATGAGGTCATTGAGCTTCGACCTGATTGACAAGCTAGGGTCCATGCTTTCATTAAGTTGACAGATTATGTAACTGCCACACTGTGCCACCTCAAAACAAAACCCAAAAAAGCCCACAGCTAAGAAGCAAGTGTTTGTTGTACTAGCAAATATTGGTAGGTTGACCAAGTGAGAAGTTGCTTCGCAAAAAGTAAGACATCCTGCTAATCCAGGAGTTAAACCTGGAGGAGATTGTCTTGTACTATCCCCAACCCCTCACCCCCCACCCCCAAGCCGCAACCAAATCTCCTGCCATGAGTCAGTTTCAGTTCACAGCGACCCTGGGGGACACAGTCGAGCTGCTCCATAGCTTTTCCTGTGGACTGGCTGGTAGGTTCGAGTTGCTGATCTTTGGGTTAACAGCCCCATACTTAGCCCATAGGGCTGCTTTCCTTCATCTGTAGAGGAGAAAGGGGGGAGGAAATACTGAGAGGAACTGAGGGCAACCCCCGTGTTCCTGAGAAACTGGAGATGAACGAGGTGCTCAGGGGAAGACGGGTACACATTGCAGAAGGTGCTGCAGCTGTGACAAGCAACATGTGCAGAGTGATACTTCAAGTACTAAGAGAACTGCTCCAAGTAGAAAAGGGAAGGAGAACTCAGTATTGACAGCATGGTGCCGTTTCCTGCGATTTAGAAACATGTTGTTGGTTGCCCTTGTGTTGGCTCTGAATCATGGCCACCTCATGTGTAGCGGTGGAGCATGCCCAGTCCTGTGCCATCTTCAATATTCCAGGCATGTTTGAGTATATTGCGGGGAGGGACAGGGGCGTGTGTAATCGGTCAGGACTCCATTAACAAACTTACAAATACAACCACATACAAAACAGCACTATATATTATGCACAATCCAGGCATCTTTCAGGATTTAGCACACGTGGTAAGAGTGGGTGCCAGGTGCGCCGGTGAGTATGAAGGTAAGGAATGAAAGAGTCTTAACGAAAAATCAATATTAGAAAGGGGCTTTCATGGGCTGGTGGCAACGATGTGCTCCAAACAAAGGGGCTGATCCATCCAGATCTCTTCACCAAAGTTAAAAATAAAATAAAGACACGTATTGTCAGCCATAGAAACCAGAACTCCCAGGTTTAAAGCAAGGAAAAGCTGAGTTTGGCACTTTGGGTCCACAGGGGGCTACGCCTTGTGGTTACTTCTCTTGTGCCTGTGTTGGCTGCCTCAGTGGGCTGCAGCTTGCCAGGGAAACACATATTTCCGATGGTCTTAGAAACCGAGACGACACTCCTCTGTCTGTCTCCAGGCGGGTCTGCTCACATACAGATACACCCACATACGAGTATCCGGCGTGAAGACTATTACCCATGCTACACCCTGATTCAAGACAAAATTTCATTTATTTGTCATTAGAAATAAATATTTCACACTAGAGAATTACATATTGTTTTGTGATTAATCACTGTGCTTTAATTATGTTCAGTTTGAAACAATGAAAATACATCCTGCCTGTCAGATATTTACTTTATGATCCCTAACAGGAGTAAAATGACAGTTATGAAGTTGCAACGAAAATAATTTTATGTTGGGGGTCACACACCCACAGCTGGGAATTCAAATCCCAATTCTTTATTAACCAGCTCTGTTACTTTGTACAAACTGCTCAACTTTTCTAAGCTTTGGCTTATTATTTGCTAAAATGTAACAAGTCTCGTAAAAAACAAGTCGCGTGTTACAAGTTCATGTAAGAGTTCAACGGGATTTAAATGGCAAGCCTAGTGCTTAAGACCCAGGAATGACTCAATGGTCCACGAGTGTGTGAGCCCAAATGTCTGATACTAGTCCATAAATTCCTCTTGAGACTCACAGCACATGCAATGATGCTGAATGCAGGAAGATCACAGGCTGGTGCGTGGAAAGTCTTGTGGATCCAGTGACAGTGGAAGCATCTTAACGCTGGTATGGATCTCCACATGTCTCCTCCACCTCTGTGTGTCTCAGTAGCAGGAAAGGGAAGGCAGAGAGAGCGGGTCTGGTCTCTGGTGAGCTATTTTTCTCCATCGTGCCTCCAAATGAGGTCATCAAGCTGTGATCTGATTGACAGCCTAGAGACTCCATCTCTTTGCTCAAGTTGACAGGAGGTTATGTAACTGCCACAATATCATAATATAATAATAATGTACATCCCAAGGGATCTCTGACTATGTTGATCACTGTGCCATTGATTAGCACCTTCTTGTCTGAGTTAGTTAAGGTTTATTGTGCCAACCTGGCCGATAAACACATGTGGGAGTAATTGAAGGGTGGACAGAAAAATGGCTCGGTGAGCCTCGCCTTTCTGTGTCTCAGGTCTCTTGCTTTGTGATGGTTGGACCAGGGTGCAGCTGCCTTAGCCAGTTCCCTGCTTCAGCTGGCAAGGCTTCACTTCCTGCAGAACATCCCCGAGGAGAAGCCACGTGGACCTACCCCGATGCAGGCCTGGGTGCTGGAGCAGCCATGTGGAGACACCACCCCACCCCCACTCCCCCACCCCCGCCAGCACTGAGATGCTTACACACTCACTGATTCGGCTTTCCTCCTGCAGTCAGCATCATTGTGTGTGTTTTGTGAGATGGAGGAGGACTTTGTGGATTGGTGTCGGACATAGGTGTTAATGTTGGACTTGTGGGCTTGGGCAGCACTGGGTTGGGATGTTTTCTTGATGTGCACTTACCCTTAATATAAAACTCTCTCATACATGAGTTTCTGTGGATTTGTTACTCTACAGTACCCAGGCTAATACAGTGCACCTGTCACAAACCATGGCATTTTCCAACCATATGTGTGTGACAACTGGATAATGAATAAGAAACTGACACATCTGAAGAGTGGTGAGGCGTATTGAATAGACCGTGAACTGATGAGGCGTCTGCTCCCATGAAGATCGACAGCCTCTGGACCTCTCTGTAGGATGCTCTGGGTCTGGATCAACTCACCACAGAGGGTGTTTGGATCAAAAGAACAAACAAATACATCTTGGATGAAGTAGGGTCCAAATACTCCTTGGGAATTAGCACAGCTAGCCATCATCTTCCACACTGTAGACATGGTCAGGAAGAACTGTCCCTGAGAAAGCACGTCTTCCTGGGAAAAGTAGAGGGGCAGAAGAAAAAAAAGAAAAAGAAGCCCCTCAGGAAGATGGATTGACCCCGTGACTCAACAGTGGCTCAAATATAGAACCATTATGCCATAGGAGCAGACAGCATTTCATTCGATTGTTCACAGGGTCACTGTGAGCCAGAGCCATCTCAGCAATACCTAACAACACAATCAAAACAAGCGATCCTAACTCGACCTTACAAATCCAGCTAGACCAGAGGATGTACGCTGGTACAGATAGGAACTGGAAACACAGGGAATCCAGGACAGATGACCCCTTCAGGACCGGTGGTGAGAGTGGTGATACCTGGAGGATGGAGGGAAGGTGGGGAGAAAGGGGAACCAATTACAAGGATCTACATATAACCTCCTCCCTGGGGGATGGACAACAGAAAAGTGGGTGAAGGGAGATGTCAGACAGTGTAATATATGACAAAATAATAATAAGTTATAAATTATCAAGGGTTCATGAGGGAGGGGCGAGCGGGGAGGGAGGGGGAAAATGAGGAACTGATATTAAGGGCTCAAGTAGAAAGTAAATGTTTTGAGAATGATGATAGCAACAAATGTACAAATGTGCTTGACACGATGAATGGATGGATGGATTCTGTCAAGAATTGTACAAGCTCCCCAATAAAATGATTTAAAAAATAAAAGCAGTGATTTAAAATAATAATAATAATCAATCCACAGGGTGAAGGAACCACACGAATCTCAGCTTCCGCCCTCATGAGACCAGAAATTCTGAATGTTGCCCAACTACTACCACTCTACTCTGGAAAAGATCGCAATCAAGATGGGTGATAGAGTTGGAGCTCA